ACAACTTAAAAGTAATCAAACCAATTCTTGGTGCTAAGCTGAAACATAATCTGCCCTACTCAAGCAGAGCCAATTCCATCAAGTTCTGTTCACTAGCACTGAACGGTTAAATAGGAGATTTCCCTCCATGAAAATCGTCACTTAAGATATATAAGAAAAACAAAGCAACAAGATAATTCTATGCTTGTCAAAATATTCACATGAGTGTATGTTCTTATCTATGAATTTTTCCTTGTGGGTGTACATCCCACATACCAGTGGACTAGCCATGGTTCTTCCTATTGTGCAGTGGATTTAGATATCTTTCTTTCATTACTCCAGGTTCTTTAGGGGTTCTTACCTAGCTTAGTAGCTCAGGTATCAGATTAGATATCTTCTTTCTTTACTCCAAATACATTAGGAGTGTCATCATTCTTTTACTCCAGGTACTCCAGGTAACTTTAGGAGCATCTTACCTAGCCATTAGCTTAGGTATCATACCATACATTCTATGCAGCATGTAAAATGATGCATTCTCATCTCATGTAATGCATATGCATTTCATACTAGTTTAATGTTCATTCCCTGTACAAGTAAGATTAAAGAGCCAAACAGTGCAGACTTTCAACTAGAAAATCAACTTGCAATAAACTTCAGAAGGTGCAGACAAGAAGAAACAATCAACAGAGGAAATTCCTTTCTTTTATTCATACAATAGCATTGCATGTCTATAAATGTGCATTTTAAACCGTACTTGCTGTGTGATGCAAAGGCAGCCATCAAACTATAAATTTTAATTCCAACTCTTAAGTCTGAGTTAAACAATTACTAAAACCTACCTTCCTGCAGCCTTAAGTTAACAAAAACTCCTCCCAAAGCCGTCTTAAAATTGCTGCTGCTTCTGGGTCGCAGAACCTCCTTCTTTCCCTGTTTTTCCTCCGTCTGGTACCAGCAAATTTAGGATTCAAGAAAATAAAATTGAGTTAAGCCCGAATTTGAACCATATATATACTTCTAGACAAAGTTAGTGGATTTTTAATGAGTTCCACTGACTTGGTCCTCTATTTGATATATATATATATATATATATATATATATTTTATTATCTTTCAGCAGCACTTGCCAAAAGCCAGCCTGACAAATTTGGTAAAGTTGCCTGAAATTACCATGCAACTGAGCAAACCAGATTCTGATTTTCTGCCTAACCTCCTTAACTCAATGAAATTAATATTTAAGGATAAGAACTTATAAAATCTTACACTTTAGGACAGGGGTGTCTCACTTCCATTCTCATTTAGTCATTTTCTATTATGGTGGTGTCTCATTGACTACTATCTTTATCAGCAAAGAACTCATTAACTAAATTTAGTCTCATCTTGTTAGATTTTCAGACGATTAGGTGCAGGTCCTTGCTGGGAGTCATTTTGTCAAAACTTATATATGCAACGATTTTTCCTATTGCTTCTTCTAAAATGATATGGTGGAGTGAACCAACTACTAACTGAAATTTTAAACTTAGGATAAATGCTTCAACCAATTTGCTTAAGGTTAATTTTGTTTAATTTATCCATTTGGTTTCTTTCTTGATTTGTCCTAGTATGATGTTAAGCCAATCATGCTTTAATGGTTGTGATTTTCAAGCTCACTTCTGCATCTATGTACTTCTGCAATTGTTTTCTTTAGGTAAAATTTTCTGATAACTTAATCATGATTTGAAATCAGAAGGCAATTCATTTATCAAGAATAACTGTTCCATTAAGAAAATTTAGACAATTTCAGAAGTGTAACAACCTCAATTTACTGTAAGTTCTATTTGTTTAAGGCCCATAAACTCTTTCAATGTGGTCAAGCACTTGAATTTGTAAGCAACCCCAAGTTACTGACAATTGTATGGCTAAGTTCTATTCATGTTATTTCTCATTGTTCTGCTAGCTTAATTTCCTGTTATAATGTCCAAGGTGATATTGTGTGTTGCCATCTTTTAATCTTGGATGCTATTGCATTTTGAATTTTATGTTCCATTTAGCCTATACGGGATTAGCACTCTCCTTTTAGTTGTCTTAATTATTTTTTTTTCTATTTTTGAGAGCCTTGTGAATGTTTTATTGATTTCATCACAGCTTCTCCTTTGATGTTTTTGAAAGATCACCACAGAAATGGGAAAAAGAAACTCACCATGTCACTGAGTGGTATGGCATTGGTTGCCATAACCAGTCCACTTGGTTGCATATTTGCTGTTAGACACTCTGGCACTTGTCATGGTGCTACTGCAGAAGGTTTGTTTCAGTCCCAATCATTTTGAATATCTGTAAAAGATGGAGTTCTCTTAACTGAATAAGGGATTTCACTTACTCTTTCAGGGATATCATGACGCAAGCTGCTTTTTCTTGGAGATGCTATTCAACAGAGGTTGTCTGGTTAAAGTTTCTCTTACTTTGAACCTACAGAAAATTTATATATGTTGGAGAAAGAAATCTACAGATTGAAATCAATTTTTTTAAATATAATTAGAAAATCTACCCGTTGGATTTATTGACTGACGGTTTCACCATGGAAATCGGCACTACTAGTATAGCTACCGCGTCCTTTTATTGGATTACCATT